AATATCAAGAACTTTAATTGAATTTTATATAAGGAGGGCGAGTGACGAGTTTAAAATAGATGGTTTTTGTGATTGTCTTTTTCGTTTGATATTCCCTATAAATATACACTGACCTCATTAAATATATATATATATATATATATATATATATATATATATATATATATATATAGAGAGAGAGAGAGAGAGAGAGAGAGAGAATCAAAAAAAAGAGAGAAAGAACTGATGTTCAAATCAAAAGGCCATGGTGCCTGCTAAATTCACGTCACATGCAATCTTCAGAACTGGATCGACACACGTTCGATTTCCTATACTACATATTCACTGTTATAAACATATATATATATATATATATATATATATATATATATATATATATATATATATATATATATATATATATGTATATTTGTCAAGCTGAGTTCCTCAAGGAGACGCATTGTTTTAACAAGTTTTCTTTTTCTCACAGGGTGCTAAGTCAAGACTACTGGCTTGCCACTCATACATAAAATATAGTTACTTTTCAATCACCCTATATATATATATATATATATATATATATATATATATATATAATTGTAATTCTGCATACTGATTGTTGGTGCTACTAGCAAGAGTAAAAAAGGTTGATTGATTGATTTGTTTGTTTAACAGCATATCCTCTCCTTATGGGTCAATGATTTTTATTGGGACACCACCTCTAGTTAGCTGGACGTTGACAGTTCTTTTTCCGATCTTATTTTTCCTCCTAGGAGGTTGCTAACAACTTGCCTCAAAAACCTGGAGTACCCACCAACGTACATACACATATATAAGTTTTAACCAAGTTAAAAATTGTAGACAATATTTTTTATTTAATTCAAAATAATTGCTTACCTTGACTTTCCCGAGCTGATAGTGAAAGATGAATTTTCTCCATGCCATTGAGTTTCGATCGAGGACACAAAAAGATTATCAGCTGATAATCAAAAACTTGCATTTAATATGAAAATTTATATTCATTTTTCCCCTCGAGCTGGTGCACAGAGGAGGAGGTCGGGAAGCGGCATATTGACAAATGTATTTTTTAGCAAAACATACAGGTACCAACTCACTTTCAAAAAAATAAAATTGTAAACAATGTTCTATTTTTTTTTAATACAAAATAACTTCTTATCTTCACGTTCTCGAGGTAATAGTAAGAGAGGGAAAAGACATTGAACATATCGATAGGTGTGTGTGTGTACGCGCGTCTATATGCGTGTGAAGGTAATTACATGCATGAAAACATAAAGAGAGCTTTTTAGCGAATATGCTATCGGAGAAATTACGAGACTTATTGATGTATTTATAATTGCAAGGAAGGATCATTCATGTTTCACTGGTTTTGGAAATTATTTTAAGAGATTCAAACTCGCTTTTCCAAATTTATTTTTGTTTTTCTTTCAAAATATCAAAAACGAAAAAGGGTAAAAAACAGTATTTAGTAAGTATATTCAGTTACAAAATATACATTTCGTATACAAAATTTATAGATTTTTCATTTATAGATTTTTCATATATTTCAACATTCAAATCGATTCGAAAATATAAAAATTCCTCTTTAACCTACATCTCCAAAACAGTGCCTGTATTGCTGACAAGATCAAAGTCTGTATCTTCTGTTCAGATTTATTTATTTTATACGTTCTTTGCTGCGCCATACTGGGCTTGGTTCTAAGGCATTTAGGCAGTTTTTAATAGTCTGATCATTTTCAATTAAATTTCCTACAAAAAACTATCACCTTTTTTCTTTCCGTAAAAATTGGGGCAGTAGAGTTAGAGATTCCTTGGATAATTATACAAACATTCATTCAGTTACGTACCATAGGTGATACACGCATGGGCGATCTTGTCTCTTTTGATTCATGACAGACTCAGCAGAAGATTTTCCGCAGTAGATTGCCGTTTCTTTCTGAATTAGACTGATTGCCAACCAAAGGTATACGACCCAGTCTGTCCTGCCATTCAACCCAAGCAGGGAGAAAAGGTTATTTGCGCGTATGACAATATAATGAACACGATTGGAATTCGAACACGGCTCTTCCTTTTCTTATTCAGAGCCGATATTACACTACGATGCAGATGCATTACGCGTTGCAAAATTCAAGACATCATTTTATATATAAATGTATAAATTAAAAGATTTGCAATAGAACATTGGTGTATATTTTTGCCTTTCTCCTATGCTATGGGTGAAATAGCAGTGTATACTGGTGGCTTCTTTAGCCTTGGATAGAAACTAGTCTAAGAGAAAGAAAGCTCTGAATTCGAAACTATGAAGAGAAACGACACTATTTTTCCAAAAGGTCGTGTCAATTTCCAGAATGAATCTGTTGAGAATTATGACTGCATAACAAGCCTCAAAGGATCGTGAGATTACGCATATGAAATGGTTGGTTGGCCCTCATATGACATGTCGTTTGTAGTCGCTCTTTCACAGACGTGCTGTCGTCCCCTCTGTCTTTTTACAAATACTTATACGCTAACTGCTCCGACGATCTATTTTCTCTTGTTCCCAAACTGCATGAATTTAAACCCGCCACTAGATCGGCATCACAGTCCCACTCTTTTACTGTCGGAACGGTTAAATGTAGCCGTCTCTTCTACTCCAATATCTTCATGTCCCGCACTTCCCATCTGTGGGACTCTCTTACTTGCATCCCTGATAGCAATAATCTCATAGCAACGGTTTGTGGGAAGAAGCTGTTAGAGTGGATCTTACATATCACCAGTGGAATACGAAGGGAATAAGGATGGTTCGCTACAATGTATATGGCATGGTGAGTCTTAGTTGTAAATGTCAGAATAGGTGGAACTAAGGAATGTTATTCCTCTGAACATTTTCCGTGTAAATAGCGATAGAGTAGCGAGAGACATAACATTTCGTCTCGGGAAAAGGGACTGTAATCACTCACAAGGTCGCAGAGATGCCTTTCGACTTAAGAATGGAAGTGAAAACTGAGCATCTCTTGCCCATATATGGCAACAGTACTCCATTTACGACCTGCTCTGGTTCTTCAAATTCTGTTTACAGACAAGATAAGTTAACGCTTATTACTGTTACTATTATTATTACTGTTTTGATGGAGAGATTTTTTCTTTTCTTTTTTTTTTGTGAAACACTATCTTCATTATTACCGTATATCATATTATAAATAGCTGTCTTATCTAAGTGAACAAACAGCTTGGAATCGGAATTTCAATCTAAAGGTGGTGCATTACAAACTACCACATATATACAATTATTTTAAATTTATTTACCGGAAACTCTCCTGTATTTTTATGAACGCTGTTATAGTAATTTAATTCAAGAAATGTTCAATATTAAATAATTGTAAACCATAATTTGCTACCTCGCCTCTTTTTTTTTTCTTCTGCCAAAAGTCTGTCTGCAACAATTATCAGCGGCTTCTTTTCGGGGGAAAATGCGAGACAGAATTCACACTGGAAAGTCATTTAAAAGTCTAAGCTGAATTATTTGAATGAACCTGCTAATGATAGTCTGTACTGAGGATAACAAAATGTTAATGATAAACACATTAACCAAAAACCAATTCTTGTATAACTTTGCATTGCAACGTTTTATTTTAGTCTCGAGAAAAAATAACACATGGTACAATTCCCTCGGTAAGAGATGCATTCGTTATTTTAAAATGTTCAAAATTGGCTCTACAATGATTCCATCGAAAGCATTTATAAAATATACTGAATACCCGGTGTGTAGTAAATAAAATATTAGAAGTACGTCCATAATCTTCAAACCTGTCAGTATTTTGATTGATAATTTTATGATGAGATACAGAGACAGACGTCTGTCAATTATTAATTTTTTTCCTCTCATTATATAGCAGTTAAAGTTAATATTGTACTTTTAAAGAAGCAAATTAAAACACTTCTGTGTGCCTTTTGTTAATAAGTAAATGACAATGCTATAAAAATATAAACGCAGATAGGTTGATAAACTGATTTGTTTTTTTACGACTTGACAACTTTTTGAAGGTTATTTAAAGCCAGAAAATATTTTCAGACTAGCAGCATGGCCCGGCGTTGCCCGTGCTTGATTCAAAGATCGTACGACTCATACAGCAATCGCTATCACTTGACTTAAAATATTTTTGCCCTTCCTTGCCTTTAAAGGAGTGCCCTTTGCCGTGCTGATGTTGCTACATGCCTTACTTCTTGCCTATCTCACACTGCAAATTTTTTCTAAGCTCTATACTAAACATTAAATCTGTTACGAAAAAAGAACTAAACAAAATGAACACAAAACGATCAGCTTTAAAAAAGGACTCGTGACTGGAAAAACCGAATAAAAAAAGAATGTTAACAACAAATACTTTCTCACACCCAATCCAAGTTCTGTGGAATCAGAATCAACGTTGAGTTTAAGCAAGCGCATGAGCCAACTGGAGTAAAGTGCTTTGCAGGTTTAAATTTTTCCCACTTGTGACGAATGCAGCTATCGATTTTTTTTTTGCATGCTAGTTAACATTCGTGTCAGTCAACTGTTTGCTCTCACGCTGGCCAATAGAATCTTCCTGCCTATTCGTGGCAGCCAGCTATAGGCTCTCACTCTGGCCAGTAGAAAATGGCCGCAAACTACATGAAAACTGCCTTAGAAGCATGAAAAAATCGGTTTTTCCCACTATCGATGGGAGTTGGGAAATGCAAGGTCGGTCTTGGCCTTTCCGCTAACTTGGAGCATGTGCATGTAAATTTTGGTGAAAATCCATTGAAAATTGCGGCCGTGCATTCGTTACACACACACATCCTGCCTTTTATAGATAGGGATTGTAAGAATTTTCTTTTTTGAGATAATGAATTACTTATATAATTCATACTAATTAACCCCTAACAGGCATGGACAGAAGAGGAGGATTCTATAGTTTCCTAAGGGTATCTGCGAGTAAGTGAATAAAAAACCCAACTGGAATTGTAAATCAGTTCTCCGATTTCCAATTCCGTCCCTAACATCGAAGCTTACAGCACCTGGTATTCCCAAGCGGTTACCCATCTAAGTACTGACCAGGCTCGATGTTACTTAATTTCGGTGATCCGATGTTTAGACGAGACATGGTCGTAAGCTCATAGATAGATAAGTTCATAGATACTAACACGTAACAATAAAAAGGGTTTTAACAGGTTGGTAAAAAGGTACAGAAATCGCCTGAGTAGTCAATTTAATTTCGGTGATCCGATGTTTAGACATGGATAGATAAGTTCATGGTCGTAAAAGTACAGAAATCGCCTGAGTAGTCAATTTAATTTCGGTGATCCGATGTTTAGACGAGACATGGTCGTAAGCTCATGGATAGATAAGTTCATAGATACTAACACGTAACAATAAAAAGGGTTTTAATAGGTTGGTAAAAAGGTACAGAAATCGCCTGAGTAGTCAATTTAATTTCGGTGATCCGATGTTTAGACGAGACATGGTCGTAAGCTCATGGATAGATAAGTTCATAGATACTAACACGTAACAATAAAAAGGGTTTTAATAGGTTTTAGAAATCGCCTGAGAGTCAATTTAACGGTGATGGTTTAGACGAGACATGGTCGTAAGCTCATGGATAGATAAGTTCATAGATACTAACACGTAACAATAAAAAGGGTTTTAATAGGTTGGTAAAAAGGTACAGAAATCGCCTGAGTAGTCAATTTAATTTCGGTGATCCCATGTTTAGACGAGACATGGTCGTAAGCTCATGGATAGATAAGTTCATAGATACTAACACGTAACAATAAAAAGGGTTTTAATAGGTTGGTAAAAGGGAAATCGCCTGAGATAGTCAATTTAATTTCGGTGATCCGATGTTTAGACGAGACATGGTCGTAAGCTCATGGATAGAACATAGTTAACACGTAACAATAAAAAGGGTTTTAATAGGTTGGTAAAAACAGAAATCGCCTGAGAAGTAATTTAATTTCGGTGATCCGATGTTTAGACGAGACATGGTCAAAGCTCATGGATAGATAAGTTCATGATACCAACACGTAACAATAAAAAATCAATTTAATTTCGGTGATCCCATGTTTAGACGAGAATGGTCGTTCATGGATAGATAATAGATACTAACACGCAAATAATAAAAAGGGTTTTAATAGGTTGGTAAAAAGGTACAGAAATCGCCTGAGTAGTCAATAACTAGCTCAGTTACGAACTTCTCTGTCTATCTATCTCCCCCATGTCAACTAACATGCCACTATTTAAAGTCTTTGTTCACAGACAAGTTCATCTTCAAGAGGGGTGGTAGGTTTACGACACAACAGATACATGCAACTTTTTGAGATAGGTAAGAACAGGTTTAGATAATCCGATACAGAGAGAAAGAAACAAAATGAGATAGGTTGAGAATGAATTATATAAAATGATAGATAGATAAATAGAGCTCATAGATGCATATAAACATTTTGAGATAGCTAAGAACAGATTTAGGCAGTCCGATAAAGTGAGAAACAAAATAAGATAGGTAAGAACGGACCGAGATAGATAGATAGATAGATAGATAGATAGATAGATAGAAGAGCTACTGGTTGAGCTTCGTAAGATGTCAGAGTCTAACTATGCAACACTAATGCCACATTATATGTGGATTAAGTTACTGAGACGGGTTCTAAGCTCTGTAGTTCAGCATTGCAAAAATATATTCTAACACGTTTTTAGCACAACTGGGGCAGCTATTCTTAAAATCTTCCATTAAAAGAGACTCAACTCCACTTGATTGAAATCAAATAAACGGGAAAATCAGGGCCCCGAGCGAGTAATGTTGGCGTGCAGTAGAATTTAATATCAAACTTCTTACCACGTCTTCAACAACAACAGCATCGGATAGATAGATAGATAGATAGATAGATAGATAGATAGATAGATAGATAGATAGATAGATAAACATAATGAGATAGATAAACATAATTAGATAGATAGATAGATAGATAGATAGATAGATAGATAGATAGATAAACATAATGAGATAGATAAACATAATGAGATAGATAGATAGATAGATAGATAGATAGATAGATAGATAGATAGATAGATAGATAATTTTATGTGTACATAAGTAAATCTCTGGTTATATACAAAAGAAAAGGGCTAAAAAATATATATATATATATATATATATATATATATATATATATATATATATATATATATATATATAATGGTTGTTCAAAATTATTAACATTACTGTTTCATATACCTATCTAATGAATCGAACGTGAGGTAAAATTAAGGGCTTGGGGCAAGTAAAGCTATTTATGAAGAATGCTATCAGCGCGGGCAATCTTCTTCTATGCATTGTGTTCCTTAAGAACGTTCGCGATTATGACTCTCCACAACTTCCTGTCCTTTATAACTCTTAATAAATGTTGCCTTTTTGTTATCCTAAAACTTGTTCCACCATCCATTTACTCAGGCTCGTTAAGTAGGTTACGACTAGTTTTCCTCTGTCCATCCTGCCTTCAGTCTATCCTGTGAGTATCAAATTTTGCAAGCCCTCTTTTTTGGTCCCTGGATATTTCAACTGTCCCTTGCCATGTTAGGTCCATGGTATTCTCAGCATCCTTCTGTAGAACCACATTTCTCTGGATTCAAGTATCTTCTTCATCTGTGATGAGATTGTCGAGCATTCACTACCATATAGGAGGACAGATATTACTTATAATGGTTCGTTACACGTTTCTGTGTTTCTAACGAAATTTTTCTTTGCTGAGGTTTTGAAAAGTCCTCTTGTCTTACAGTGCCTTCTATTTTTGTATCTATACTGGATTCTATTCGTATGTAGGCGATTTGCTGCCAGTATAGATTCTGAGTCATTCTAAAATCCTTTCCAAATATGTCAAGGTTGCCTAATGTAATACAAAGGCTGAAAAAACTATACCTATATTCCACAGATTACACAAATGCATTTGATAATATATGACGCAAAGATTTAGTCGCAATACTAGAAAAGCTTTATTTACATGAAATTGATATTGGAGTATTCTGTTCATCTATGGAGAAAAGAAAGGACTAGAAAACATACTGAACACAAGAGAGGCAAGGATAATCAGCGATTAACCTATTTTACCATTAAGACGAGTTAATATTTGTGTGCTCAACTTGTTATCGATGCTGAATGGTCAAATTGGCAGCTGATCTCAAAATGACATACAATCTTTTTTTGTTTAAAGCAAAAAATAGTCTATTAATTTTAACACCTTTTTTAATCGTCTGAGAACCATTTTTGCCTGACTGAAGGTAATCACCAGGGAATTGACTCCTTGCTCCCCTTAGAGATAACGTTTTCTGGTGACTTGAAATAGAAAGATTATGTTGAATTAATTGCTAAGTATGCTGCTAGAAAAGTTGATTCATTGTGTCGTACTAGACAATTTTTCTTGACAGAATCTATTTTACACATGTCTATCATTCGTCCATGTATCGAATATTACAGTCACATTTTGTCTGGTACCGTGTCATTAGAGATTCTTGATAAAATACAAAGAAGAATCTGAAATGTTATTCGTCCTGTGTTAGCTCCAGTCACTTCCCTGTGCCTTTTCTATAATTATTGTCATGGACTTTCCTCTTTGGTAACTAGATTTATGACGGCAAGGTCTTATCCTTTTACAGTTGAAATAGCTAGATGTAACCGTAAGTTCTATGCTAACAGATTACTCTCTCGCACTTCTCGTTTATGGAATATGCTCCTGGCTACTTGCTTTGCAATCAACTTTGACCTTCAAAAATTTAAATGCAACGTCAATCATTATCTTCTTTTTTCTTCATTCCCGTTCTTTTATTGTTATCTCTTCTAAATAATGTTTTCGTTTTGTCATATTTCTCGCACTCCCTGCAAATTAGTGGCTACATTTCCTAGCATGGGGTGAAATGATTAAAAAGAAAACAAAAGAATTTCAGTGATTGGAGGGGGAAAAGTGGACAAAGGGTGATAGAATATTGTTAAAAATAACACAGAACAAAACAAAACGTAAAATTCTGGAAAATCTTGATAGTTTACATGCAGAAAAGACAGCCCACATTTTCTTTTTTCTTTTTTATACAGTGAGGTTCACCATGTACATGATCAGTAAAGAGGCAGATTATGAGGATAGGAGGGGAAGATAACGTCTAAACCTAGATTTGAACAGGTTAAGTTTGTAATGATCGGGGAAACATTCTCTTGGAAATCGGTTCTACAGAGCAGTGGTTCGATGAAAGGAGCTGTTTGAGTGGCACTTACTTCTCACCAATTGAATACAGAGGAAATGTAGGTGCTTTGCTAAACTAAGTACCGCCCGGTCCACATTCCTCCCCCTTCTCTTGGACATGAGTAGAGGCTTACGCCTTGTTTCTTGTTTATGAAGGGGTTTCCGGTAGTCTCTCTCTCTCTCTCTCTCACTGGCCTCTGTATCTCCAGTTGCCTTGATCTATCCACTACTATTCTCCTCATCCTTTCTTCTATCACTCCTATCTGATCTTGCTCCAAATTTTTTGTAACCCCTTGCGTCCTAGTGGCTTTCCGTCTTGCTTGGGGTGAAACGCTTAAAAAAAAAAGAAGTAGCATAGCTGCTCCTGACCGTAACAGTTAGAAGTGGCGAAACCAATGAATGCAGCTCATCCGAGCACTTTCCATGGAAAAAAGCGATATAGCGGTGAGAGGTTTGCATGTGAGAGATATTTAGCTACCCCCACACACACACACACACCGAGGGTTACATGTGGCACAAGGCCGGGTTTAACGTGGGATCTCCGAGCCCGTAGGCTCGGCCAAAAATATTCCCTCTTCAAACCCGCATAAACGGGTTCAGGGGCAGTCAAACACCCCGAAAGAGACTCTGCCCTTCGGCGGAGCCTCGTCCGGGTTCCTTTCCGCCCGAAGGCAGAGAGTTACAGGAAAGTGAGGAAATGGTAGCTCCCGCCCAAATATGGTGACAGTACTCCATTTTAAGCCTGATCAGGTTCTTGTAACTTCACTGTATTCTATGAGACTTATTGATATGTCCCGGAAAGGGATATATTTGATCGAAGTAGCTAATTTGGTTTGGCTACTGTAACCAAGTAGTACACGGTAGCA